CCCTAGAGATAACACAGGCCATGGAACCCAAAAGAACAATTATAAACATAATAAAAGAATTCAGTGAATTTAAAGAACACACAAAGAAATCAAAGAACTGAAGGAAGATTGGGATAAACTTCTGAATGAATTCAGAAAAGAGAAATATTGAAGAATACTCAGGCTGAAATGTAGAAGGAAGTGAAATACTCAATAAGCCAATTAGAAATGATAGGAGAAACTCTCACCAATAGGATGCATGAAATGGAAAACAGAGTATCAAGACTGGAAGATAAAATGTATGAACTAGACCACTCAAGCAAAGATTATGAAAAATATAAGAAATCACAAGAATGGAATATGCAGGAACTCTGTGACACCATAAAAAGACCAAACTTACACATCATAGGCATAGAGCAAGGAGAAGAATCTCAGGATAATGGTATGGACCAGATCTTCAACGGAATTGCAGAACAAAATTTTCCAAAATTAAAGAAAGACATGCTCATACAAATACAAGAAGCACATAGAGGGCTGAAGAGATGGCTCAGCAGTTGAGAACACTGACTGCTCTTGCAGAGGACCCGGGTTCAATTCCCAGCACACACATGGTGGCTAAGAACCATCCTCAACTCCAGTTCCAGGAGAATCTAAAGCCATCTTCTGACCTCCATGGTACTGCATGACATGGGTGCACTCACATACATGCAAGCAATACACTCATACCCATAAAATGAAAATAATGAATAAAAATATTTTTTAAAAAAGAAGCACATAGAACACCAAATAGGACCAGAAAGGAAACTTTCTGCACATTATAGTAAAAACATTAAATGTACAGAACAAAGAGAGAACACTGAAAGCTGCAAAAGAAAAACAAGTCACATATACAGGAAATCCCATCAGAAATACAGCTGACTTTTCAGTGCAAACTATGAAAGCCAAAAGAGTCTGGACCAGAGTACCCCCAGTTCTAAATGACCACAGATGCCAACTCAGATTACTTTACCCAGCCAAAATGTCTATTATAGTCAAAGGGGAAAGAAAAATCTTCCATGACATAAATAGGCTGAAAGAATTCATGTCCACAAAACCAGCCCATCAGAGAGTTCATGAAGCAATACAAAGAGCTGAGGAAAGGAACAACTTTATGCATAAGGAGTAACAGAAAGAAACTTAAAGAAGGTAAAACTGTGGAAACACATAGTTACACCAAGAAGGCAAACAGAAATCAAAATGATGGGAATAAATTCACATCTTTCATTAATAACTTTTGGACTTAACTCCCCAGTCAAAAGACACAGCCAATTTGAATGGATTAAGTAACAAAACCCATCTTTCTGTTGTCTGCAAGAAACCCATCTCACTTTCAAGGACAGGCACTACCTTAAGGTGAAAGAAAGGGAAAAAAGTATTCCAAGCAAATGATACTAAGAAAAAAGTAGGAGTTGCAATTCTAATATATGACAAAATAGACTTCAAATGAAAACTAATCAGAATAGCTAAAGAAGGCCACTTCATTCTGACCAAAGAAACAATTGACCAAGAATACATTACAATCATGAACATATATTCACCAAACTCTGGTGCACCCGACTTTGTAAAATCAGTACTACAGGACTTTAGACCCAGCTTAATCCCAACTCATTAATAGTAGGGGATTTTCAATACCCCATTGTCTCCATTAGATAGGTCAACAGGACAGACAATTAGCAGAGAGACATCTGAATTAAACAATATCATACATCAAACGTACTTAACAGTCACCTACCGAATATTCCACCCAAGCACTATTCAGCTATTCAGCATCCCATGGAACTTTCCCCAAAATTCGCCACACACTGGGGCACAAAACAAGTCTCAACAAATACAAAAAGATTGAAATAATTCCATGAATTCTATCAGAACACAATGCAATAATGCTTAAAATCAACACTGGATGAAACCCTAGTAACTACATGAACACATGGAGGTTAAACAACACACTCCTGAAAGATGAATGGGTCAAAGGAAAAATTAAAAAAGAAATAAAAGTATTCCTGGAACTAAAAGAAAAGGACAATACAACACAACAAAACCTCTGGCGCACATTGAAAGCAATCCTTACAGGGAAGTTTATAGCTCTAAGTACCTACACTAAAAAATCAGAAAGAACACAAATAAAATGACTTAACATAGCAACTCAAGACATTGAAAAACAACAACAAATGAAACCCAAACCCAGAATACAAGATGAAATAACAAAAACCAGAGCAGAAATTAATAAAATACAAACAAATTACAAAGAATCAATGAACCCAAAAGCTGGATCATTGAAGAGATCAAGATGGACAGACCCTTAGCCCAGTTAACCAAAAGAAAGAAAAAGCACCTCCAAATCAACAAATCCAGACATGAAAGGGGAAACATCACAACAGACACCAAAAAGATCCAGAATATTATAAGGAAATTCTTTAAAAACCTACACACTCCTAAATTTGAAAACCTAAAAGAAATGGACAGGTATCTAAAAGCATGGGAATCACCAAAACTAAACCAACAGCTCAAACAAACCCACAACACATAAGGAAATTGAAACTGAAATACAAAACTTCGCAACTAAAAAAAAAGCCCAAAACCAGATGTATTTACAGCAGATTTCTACCAGACATTTAAGGAAGATCTATATCCAATCCTACTGAATTTATTCAAAAAGATCAAACTGGGGGAAGAACTTCCAAATTCGTTCTATGAAGCCAGCATCACTCTAATACCAAAACCAGGTAAAGATAACAACCAAAAAAGAAAACTGTACACCCATATCCTTAATGAACAGAGATGCAAAAATTCTCAAAAAATACTTACAAACCGCATACACACACACATCAAAAAGATCATCCACCAGGATCAGGTTGGCTTCTGTCCAGAGATGCAGGGAAGGGAAGGTTCAATACACATGTCAATAAACATCATAAATCATATAAATGGACCCAAAGACAAAAACAACACAGTCATCTCAAGAGATGCAGAGGATTTTGACAAAATTCAACATCCATTTATGTTCAAACTCCTAGAGGGAATTGGACTGGAGGGAACACACCTCAACATAATTAAAATCATATATAACAAACCCACAGCCAACATCATTCTAAATGGAGAAAAACTGGAAGCATTCCCATTAAAATCAGGGAACCAGACAAGGCTGTCCACTATCTCCACTCCTTTTTAACATAGTGCTTGAAACTCTTGCAAGAGCAATAAGACAAGAGAAGGAAATTAGAGGAGTAATAATGAAAAAGAAAAGAAAAA